CCTCTATTAAAAAAAAAAAAAGGTTACTAAAATACTTGAGGGTGAAACAGTGGCAATGCCTCGAGGGTTCAGCGAGCACACGCGTGGCAGGCCGCATGGCGGCACACGAAGGCAGGCTGGCTCAGGCGGGCAGGAGCGCCAGGCGGCCGCCTAGAACCATCCACCCGGCCTGGGGGAGGCCGCCCCCGCCCCAGCAGAGGTGGAAAGGTCAGCCTGGCATGGAGGTAGCCCAGTCAGCTGTGCCGTCAAACCAGCTTGTATGGGGGAAACTTACTCTTCGCTTTGGCGTCCCCACCGGTAGCCAGCGCGGGGCTCCAGTCTTGGGGAAGGTGGTCCCCATCCCCCCTGCCCCGTGCGCAGGCGGGTGTGGGTCAGCGTGGTGTGCCCCCTGCGGGCCGGGACGGGCAGGCTGCACGAGGCCGCATTCAGAAGCAAGTGCCTGCGGGAGCGAGGTGAGAAGCCGACCCGTCTACACCCACGGTGTCTAAAGCGCAGTCTGGTCCCGTTCCCTGTGTCGCGGCCCAGATCCGAGCAGGGCTGACTCGGGTCCGCCCTGGGCCCCTGCGGCTGCCCCTGGACAGGATGGCGTGGCCCCTCCGTCCCCGCCGCAGACTCTGGAGGCAGAGACGGAGCTGCCTCCCCTCTCCCGGCTCTCACCTCGCCTCTTGCCCCACCAGACTCACGTCCTACTTCCAGGGAAGAGGCCACTGTCCGTGCCACGAGTTTGTTAAGATGTGATTTGAACGCGCTTTCCTGGCTCGGGGACACGCACCTCCCACTCACTGACCCTCTGTGTCCCGGGAAGCCACCGAGAGCACAGCCCTGGCGGAGACCAGCATGTTTGAAGGGTTCCAGCACTTTACGCACAGCAGAAGGCCCGTTTTAGACCTCAGTGTGAACACGCTCTCTGCGAGGGCCTCTCCCTGCGGCGAAGGCGGGGCCCACAAGCCCGGCGTGTGGGGACAGGGTCTCCCGGGGCCCAGCACAGGGGCCACACGGTCACTTTGTCCACTGTCCAGTGCGGTAGGCCATGCTCTTCACCTGACGCCAGGAAAGCTCAGTTAAAATTTAAAGTAACAGGGGCCTCCCTGGTGGCGCAAGGGGTTAAGACACAACCTATGAAGCTGTCCGCAGCCTCTGCAGCACGAGTTCAACCCCTGGCCAGGGAGCTACCCACATGGCGCAGCAGACCTCTCCTGTCTCCCCGCTGCTCCCCGCAGCAGTGTGTTTCAGTCAATCTGCCTGTTCTGTTCCCCACTCTGTCTCTGGTGGGTCCTCTCACCCATCTGCGCCTCTGGCCTGTACCCCAGTTCTTTTATGCGTAAATAAATAAATCTTTTAAAAAAATTCAAAACTTAAAAAAAAGAAATTAAAGGAACAAATATACACACCGATCAAAATGTCCAAAGGAGATTTACTTACCCAGAAGCCTCTGCTCGGCCTTGTAGTGGTGATACGGCCACCCTGACCTTTTCTTCCTGCTGGGGCAGCTGGCGCTGACCCTGGACTCGCACCCAGAGTCTGGACGTGTGCCCCCCTCAGAACTCCCCCAGCACCAGCCTCACTTTCCCAGGATGCCACCTCCCATGCCTGCTGTGCCGGAAGCCGTGGACAGGGCTGCGGATTCCATCCCAGCCTGTGCTGGTGAGATGGCGGCCTGCAGGGAAGGGTCTTCCTGCAGAGCGCGCAGCGCCAACAGGAAGAAAAGAAGGCAAATGGTGCATGATGGGAGCTCTCGGGATTTGCTCCCTTCAGCGCCCTCCTGTCTTTCAGCTGGAGTCGCCAGGCGGCCCTTAGCCCTCGCCCCTCACACCGGGCCGCGGTGGCCTCTGCAGGCCTCCTCCAGCCGCCCCTCCTGCACGCAAGCCCTGGTCTGCAGGGGTGCGGACCCCGCTGTCGGCACACACTCTTCCCCGCCCCAAGAGCCAGATCACCGCAGCGAGGCATAGACACGCCAGCCGGCGCTGGACCCCAGGGAGCCTGAGGTCAGGGATGGTCAGGGATGCGCTGGCCCCGCAGCTCCTGCTGCGGAGGCCGGTCCGTGGGACGCCGTGGCCAACCTGGTTTCTCAGCAGATGCAGCGCCTCCCGGCACTAGCCCTCGTCAGAAGGGGCGAGGATACGCCACTTCTGCCCTGGAGCTTAAGCTCCTCCGATTTCTTCTGCTATTAAGTCTGACGAGGACCAAATTGTGCATTGAAAAGGGTACCTTTGTCCTATTCGCTCCCAGTGAGCTTATGCTCTGAAGGAAGCGCCCAGACATTCCGCACAATGGGAGAACACAGCCCTGTCCACCTGAGCTTGGTTCCAGGAGGCTCCAGGGAACAAGGCGGCTCCGCCTTCGCGGGAGTCAGGCTGATGCCATCGAAGTGGCAGTTCCAAATCCCTCATTCACGTCCTTTTGCATCGTCAACGGACGGGACTTTGCATAAATTTGGCAAAGACACCTCATCTCAGCTCCTCTGATATTACCTTACATCTCAGGAGAAGGTGCTTGGCGGGAGGCCTGCTTCCCGACCTCGCTCTAAGAGAGGAGCGTGTTCAGATCATGCCCTGCACACTCTGGGGAGCGAGGCTGCTTTGCACCCACGGGGTCCTGGGTGTCCTGCAATGTCTTCCCGAGAGTAGGTCCGTGCTAGGTTCTCGCCAAAGTCACTGATGAGTGTCACGTCTTGAAGACGCAGCCCCGTCACACACCAGCCCCCAGACGACGGATCCCGGCAGGAAGAGCAATTCTGTGTCTCAGGCTGCTTCTCCTGCCCAGGCCCTGCCCAGCTCTTTTCTCTGGGCAGCTCTGTCTCTGTCTCTGTCTCTGTCTGTTGGCCTTTCTCTTTTAATGTCTAATGTCTCTCTTTCCCCCTTTATCTCCCTCGGGGCTGTAGATCTCCATTTCAAATAACTTTGATCTAATCTTGAAGGAAAGGCTTTTAACCTCATAGGTCACATTAAGAGAAAATCCTGATGTTATTATGTAAATAAGTTTTATTTTTCTCTGTCATCTTCCACTGGCTTGAGCAGGGAACGTTTGCACCAGCAAGTAGGCAGAGCATGGACTGGAGTCCCAGGGTCTGGATGAGTCTTTCCTTGTCTCCTGCAAAAAACACAGAGGCCTACTGCTGGCAGGCATAACGAGAGTCACGCACAATAACAAGAAAAGAGAGCAACATGTAGAGCAGCTCGCTGTCTCTCGCTGGGCAGGTTCACTGAAGAATTGCAGATCAGAGAGGCCGAGGAGTCGCTCACGCAGCATTGTGCGGTGACGGCCTTTCTTTCTCTGTGCGTGTGCGTGGGTGTCTGTGTGTGTGTGGGGGGGGTGGTAAATTCTCCCTTGTTCCATTCGAGAGATTGACAGTGAAACTTACAGCCACCCTTCGTAGTGGTCCCCTCAGAGAGGAGGACCCCCGCCGCACGTCGGGGTGGTGACAGGGACGCTCGCTTTTCCTTTGTCAATGTGATGAGAAGACGGCTGGTCACAATTCTTGAAATAAAAGGCATCGTGTGTACAAACAGTAATTCACTCTTAGTGCTGTTAGTAAACAATTCAAAGCCGGAGCAGTCTATAACAAATGGGAAGCATGATTCCTCATGAAAATACTCAGGCCAAAGTAAATTATGTAGTTTTCAGCTGGCCTTTCTTTAATAAATAGCGACGGGAAGAATCTCTTTAGGAAACGAATTGAGTCTTTCTCCTTTTCGATTTCTCTGACCTTCCCCAAGCTTTGTAAATGAACATCCTGCTACTTACTGAAAAACAATTTTTTGACAATTGTTCTTAGCATGTCTACTGACAAATTCACGCTTACAGATCGTCGATGTGTAGAATATTTGATCCAGCTGTGTGCTTCTAACACCACCAGACAGTAATGGCGGACTCCTGCCGAGCACTGACGTGAAGCGTGCGCCTCTGCACACCTGCGTGAGGCCCACAGACGGATCAGGAGGCCGCGGTGCTCGGGGCCTGCACTGCAGCCAGTGTGCCTGCGCTGGCAGTGGGGAGCGGTGGCTCTGAAGGTGGAGGGAATGTCTAATTGACATGTCAGAGGTATGACTGGAATTCTTAAAATTCAACAGCAAAAAGCAAACAACCCCATTAAACAGTGGGCCAGCCTAGGTATTTATCCAAAGAATATGAAAACACTAATTTGAAGCGATATCTGCACCCCCATTTTCATCTCGACAATACCCTAGATTTGGAACAGCTGTCAAGAGCCCATGACAGGTGATTAGACGAAGCACATGCGGTTGCACACTCACGAGGCACTTTCAGCTTTGAGAAGGGGAAATCTTGCCACTTACAACAACCCGGTGGACCTAGAGGTAGAATAAGCCAGACGGAGAAGGACAGACACAGCTGATGTCCCTCGCAGGTGGTAATAATGAAACAAAACAAAGGCATGAACTAAATAAAGCAAAAATAACATTCAAGCTGCACAACCAAAGCTGTGCTCCCCAGGGGAAGGGGGGGGGGCAGGTGGGTCGGCACAAGAGGTCTGAGGCATGGCGGGTGCTGGGATTCAACTTCTGTTGGTAAGATGATGTAGTAAATGCAGACAGTGATTCACGCTGGTGTGTGCCTGAAACCTCGGTAATGTGTTGAAACAATGCCGCTTCCATAATTTAAAAACAATAGGCAAAGAGATTTTAGACTTCCCACCAACAAATGCAACCCAAAAAAGGGAAAATTGATAAATTCAACCTCATTAAAATCTGTGCTGTGTGCAAAGCTTTGCTGTGAAAAAGACAGAAGAGGGTGGCAGCTGTGAGCACATGTTCGCAAGCCTCTCATCTGACAGGACAGAAGCGGCGCACACACGACGGTCCGCGCATCGTGGCAGCAGCGTGGTCTGCCCCAGATTACAGCTGACGAGGATGCCCGGGACCCGCAGGGCTGGGAGGCACAGCGGCCTCACTCCTGCAGACATGTCTCTGGCACGAGGCTGCCTCAGGACAGTGCAGAGACACTTAGAAGCCTTCAAAGTACAAGTTTTCTTTCATCATCTCCTCAATTTCCCTTGTGGACACGTTTTACAGGAACAATCTGACAAGAACAGAGCAACATCTGTCAATAGAATTGATCATGGCATGCACTGCAAACGCAATATAAAAATAAATTAAATGCCCAATATCATGAACTAAAATTACTTAATCTCATGCACAGTTATGTTAAATCACACAGGAACAGACTCTGAACTGTTGTTCCCCCAAAAAACTTAAAAGGTATGTTCTTCACATACGTCATTATAATGTGTAAATCACATAAGACACCATATAATGTAGTCATCATATAAGAACATAAATGTGCATATTCGCATAAGAGAAAAACCTGGAGAGAATTAAGTAATGATTGACCGTGGTGATCTGAGTGATGAAATTTTGGAGTTTTAAGTTTTTTAATCAAATTGTTCTTTATGTCATGTTCCACAATGAAGTGATACTATCTTTAGAATCGAAAAAATACAGCAAAGCATGTGACATTTTAAAGGACCTCATGTTCAATCTCTTACAGTTAGAAATTCGCCAGGATGGGGAGACAGGAAGGGCAGGACCGCGCCCGCCCCCAGCCCGCGGCGCTGGCGTCCTCAGGGTGCGAAGCCTGTACCCACCGCCCCTGCTGGGCCAGAGCCACCGCCACGGCCTCGGCACTGCCAGGCACCTGCTCCCGAAGGGAGGACGTCACGGTGGCACCGAGCAGGCCTCATCCAGCGTGGGCGCCCCGAAGTCCACTCCGGTCAGGGCCATGAAACCTGCTGACCCGAACTTGAGCTTCAGATCGACAGACAAGTGACCGGTCCCCCCTGAGGAGCATTCCACACGGATCTCATGGCGACCCGGCACCAAGGGAGCCTCGCCCGGCGCGGGGCCGAGTGGCCGAGACTTGGGTCCCCGGGAGGTGGCCTGTGAGCGCCTGCTCCTGCTCCCTGGTGCTCCTCGACTTTGGGGGCCTCTTTGAGCTTGAAAACATCTTTGATGCGTTTCCTGGGGCCACTTTTTCAGATGTTTCCTCTCTAAGGCATTGGGCAGCATCGTGCTGGGGTGCCGCCTCCCCGAGGAAGTTCTCAATAATCTGGAGCGAGGTCCACGGGGACCAAGGGTCAGACCCCCACAGTCCAGACGCGGCCCGGCCTCCCCGGGCGGCCTCCGCCTGCCGCTGCCTCCCACATCTGCATCTGCACAGCCGAGTCTCCCCTCGCTCTGATTTCAGCTCAGCTCCCTCCGGTTGACACCACACCGAGAAGATTTATTTTTTATATCTTGTAAGATATAAACTTACAGATTCTGCCAAAGGAGGAGGAAAATGAGTGTCTGTTGACTCCTCGCTCTTTTTCAGGCATGAGATAAATGCTGTGTGTATCTCCAGATTAATTTGTCTTCATAACATCTAGTAAAATTCCAGTGCTCATTTTCCTAGTGAAGAAACAAAAATTCAGAAAGGCTAAATAATAAATCTAGCATCCGGTAGAAACACTGAAATTCAAACTCGATTCACTTGATTAAAATACGTGCTCTTTATGCGCCGCCCCTGCCATTTCAGCAGGTCAATACTGCGCTTGAAACTTCCCATGATGGTGTAATTAGCTGCCGAGTGCAGGATTTAATTGCTTTAAACGATCTGCTTTTTATGAAAAGAGTTGTGGACATTTAGCTACATTTTCCAAACCTGAATATTCTTAAAAAATAATGTCCCAGTTTCCCCAAGGAGGGATATTTTTTTTTAATAATCTGAAAGATGGTGCTGAAATATATGTGTTTTTGTATCAAAAAGTTGTAGGTTCAAATCCTACATCTACTCCACCAACTCTTGAAAATTATATAATCTTATAAACACTCAAATGTGTCACCTGCAGATTGGGTCAGGATAGATATTGTTTAATCAGGCCTTTCTAGAAACAGAAGTGAGATAAGACTTGGGCCCAGAGTTGCTTTTCAGGAAAAGGAAGGTGGCGGGGTGGCCCAGAGTCGCACCTGGTACCAGGGTGCTGGTACCAGGACCCTCGGAGGCTCCCTGGCGTGGTCTATGTGTCCCGAGTGTGGCGGGTCCCCAGCTCCAGGGCTGCACCCAGGGTCCAGGCATCACCTGGACCAGCCATCACTCGCTGGCCATGTCCTGACGCGGCGGTGGCTGGGTGGAGGTGGCACCGAGAGACCGGGAGTCAGTCACCAAAGATGCCTGTGTTTTCTGCTCCTTTGCACCTGCCGTGCCTTAAATCCATCTTGACAGGGAAACTTCAAGATGGTGCCAAGCTGCTTCACAGGAGACACGACCCAGGAAGGTTCCCAGGAAGCGCAGGCCCCGATCCTGGTCCTGTGCGGACACACCAGCTTCTGGCACAACGACTCCTTCTCCAGAGGATGGATGAGGCCCAGTGACATCCACTGCCCTCGAGGGGCCCTGTCTTCAGGAGGTGCCCACTCAGCTTCCAGAACAGCCACTGAGGTAGCAGACCTGGCTTCCGGCCTTGGCCACAGCCGTTAGCATTGGTCAGTGGTAGCCCGCCGGGCGTCCAGGCACCGGCACCACTGTCCCTGCCACAGCCGCTGGCACGCGCTGCTGGGGAGGCTGTGGGCTGGCGGGGGCGGGGGATGACTTGGAAAGGCTGGTTGTTGGGGGGCCATGCCCTGGGCACGCTGCTGTAGTGAACGCTGACGTGACACTGGCCACCCCGTTGCCGTGGGGCTGCACGACGCCTGCGTCCGCTGGACCACTGCCTGCCGGGCTTGCTGCACGCAGTGTGGGGACGCCTGGCCCGTCTCCTCAGCACTGGGCCTCGCCAGTGGGCGTGCATGGGAAGAGGCGTTGCACCTTCAAGAAGCGAAATCAGCTTTATCCGTGACTCAGCAAGGACGCAGGCGGTGAACGCAAGTCTGTCTCCCCGATGGATGAAGGAAACGAGGTGGCCCAGGTTTGGGGGCCAGGCCTGAGAAGGGAGTTAAATTTTACTGACTAAAACACGAATTGGCGCAAGGAAGTGTGGCCTTGGGTGAAGGTCACTGGCCCGTCCAGGCACTTCATACGTGGACAAGCATGAAGAGGCGTTTCCTCAGCTGCTGGAGTTCTGAGTTCAGTGGGGGGCCCCTTTCTCTGGGCAGCCCCTCGGGCTCTCAGCCTCCCACTGGTGTTTGGGCTCAGCTTATATTGTGGCTTGACCTCCAGTATTACTGCGGCTGCAAAGACGGTCTCAGAATAAAATTCAGACACATTTTCCCTCCTGTTTCACTTCAGGGTCTGAGATCAACTGCACCACGCAGCCTCCGACTCCCAGGTCCCTGGAGTGGCGTTGTTTTGGGGGGATAGCCCAGAATCAGATGATTCATCTAGAAACTGAACCCATGTTTTCTTCCTCCGCAAGCAGGTTGAGGAAGCCGCATCTGTTCAAGGCATAACTCGGAATTCACATGTTTAGAGGTAACACTTGAAATTCAAGCGCCATGCAGGACGGTGCATGACGAGGGTTGTAGAAATGACATTAAATGAGAGTTTGGTGCAGTTAATACATTATTCACAGTCCTTCATGCTTCACATTGGAAAAATTAAGAGCATCAAAATGATATTTATTGACAAAATAAAGTTTGGTTTTTGAAGTTTTTGAGGGAAGCTAAAGCTATTTTTTTCGGATATATACTCTGTTGGCAGGCTCTAAGCATATTACTTTGAATTTTTAAAATGTGATCTAAAGTACTTTGGATTTAGGTTTGTTGTCCTCTAGGTTGTCAGTAATGCAGTTGGGTCTTATGAATAAAAGATTTTGAGTCATGAGAGAACTTTTGAATTGTTTAAGATCTTTCCAACCTGTGGTCTAGTCAAGGGAAGGAAAAGAGACATTTTCCCGTCACTGTACACGTTGTATGTTGTTTATGGTGAAATAATATTTCTGTACAACACAGGTTGTTCTCTGAGCTCAGCCCTGGGGCTGGAACCGGGGCCATCAACGTCTTTTTAGCATAGAGAATGGTGTCCGCACCTCGTTTCTGTTCCTCTGCTCTGTCATTTTTATTCTTTTGATTGTTTCCTTGCTCTCTTTCAATTTCTTTATAAAATTAGTGTTAATTGGTTTTCTTTTTGGTCATAGAGTAGTTTATTCTTCATTTCCGATTTAAATTTTCCCTTTGTCATCACATCTCACTTCATCTGTCCCATTTTTCATGTGTCCCGTCCATCTCTCTTCTTAGTTTTGGGATTTTTGTTAATGATTTTTTTTTTTTTTGCATTGAACATGTTAATTGGGAAACTGATCCACCTTTGAGAGCTGTGTCATAATTTTATTCCCCTTTGTGCTTGGGCTCTTGGAGAATAAATTCACTGTCAAGATAGTTTACTTCACTTTTCCTGCTTCCTTCTGCGGCAGCATGGAGTGATGGCCGGCGTGCTGCCTTGCGCAAGAGGCCTGCCTGGGCTGTGGGGCATTCCTGTGTGTGTGTGTGTGGTATGTGTGTGCATGTGTGTGTGTGAAGGTGACTCTTACTGGGTGGCCCTGAGGGGTCAGATGTGCAAGGACTTTGTGCCTTTGATTTTTCTTTTGTTTTGTGGGGTACACCATTTCCTCTTGCTTTCTTGCCCTATCCTAATCACGAGTCTCCAAACATTGCTGCCTCCTTTCCTTCCCAGCACCCCCACAGGAACAGCCTGCTCCCCACTTTCCGGTCCGTCCTTCAAAATCAACTATCAGATCTAAAAAAGGTGTTGTTTTTGAACTCATGGTAGACTTTCATTTCTGTGGCTATTTTTCCCCCATATTTCCTCAAAGACAGGTGAGAACCACCCCTCAGGGCACCAGTTTGTGCTTTTATAATTTCGGGGTGACCGTAAGTGCATGCCCTCTCTGAGTTGCAGACATGGTTATCATGTGGCATTCGCCAGGGTCTTTTCCTTTCTTTTGTATAAGTACAGTTTTTGGAGGATTTTGAGAGCCATTTGCATTTATATGGCCTTAATTGCCCTAGCCACACAGAAGGAGACAAGATTTAAATACGATTCTTCCCGGGAGAGAGGCGCATGTTCTGCCTAGTCAGCATCTTTCGTTATCCCTGAACCAGTAGAATTTTACCTCTAAACAGACACACCTGCCCACACATCTACCAGCAAAGTAATTTCTGCAAATTACAATCCATCGTTGCCTACCTACTCCATTTTCTTAATTTGTTTTGCAAGTGTGGCGAAGCGACCCACCAAGCTAAGATGACAGGAAGCTAGTAAAAAAACAGATGTTTTTAAGACTCAGAATACACCGATATGTTGTCCAACCACGATGCGCATTTTCATCAAGCTGCAAAAGGCAGAGTCACTTGCATTTTGAATGTCGTTATGGAACAGACCCATGTGAACCATACCATTCTAGAACACTTAAAATGGTGGATAAACACGTATTGGAAATATATTCAAACGGATGGGTGGCTTTTAGAGGGAAAAGTTTTCTAAAACATAGAATAAAAACATAGAAAAATATACGTGTAAGCTTGGAAGGAGGGCGTCTCATAAACCACACACACGAAAGAACAATCTTTAAATAATCCTGTGTCAGGGGCCTCCTTGGTGGCGCAGGGGTTGAAGTCTCAGCTCTGTGAAGCTACCCGCAGCCCCTGCTGCACAAGTTCGATCCCTGCCCAGGCAGCTACCCACAGGGCGCAGCAGACCTCTCCTGTCTCCCCGCTGCTCCCCTCAGCAGTGTGTTTCAGTGGATCCGCCTGTTCTGCTCCCCACTCTGTCTCTGGCGAATCCTCTCACCCCCATAAGTCTGGCCTGCACCCCAGTTTTTCTATGCAAAAAAAAAAGACTGAGTCTACTTTCCTTAGCTTAACAAGAGAATGATTATGTTTGCCAGAACATGAGCATGTGCCTTTTTATTCTGAAATAGAACCATTTCCTGCTCTGGCTATGCTAACACGCACCAGAAAACTGTGTTGTAAAGGTTTAAACTGAATAAAACAAAAACAAAAAACAAATCTCTGCTAACAAAGTGCTCCTTGCTGTGAAGGGCAGCCTGGCGCAGAGAGCCTGTGGGCATCCTGGGGGTCAGCAGGGCCTCGGGGAGGGCACAGGCCTGGGCGTGAGCCTGACGCCCAGCAGCCTGACACGGCCCTGCCGCTCTGCCGCCAGGCCGCCCGCCGAGTGTGCAGACGCTGACACGCAGCCCGCGCCCCTCGTTGCTCTGGGAGCCTTGGTATTAATTTTATTGATTTTCAAAACTACAGAGTCAGGCGAAATGCATTTCAAAGAGCTTTAGCGGTGGGAAAGCTTTTACTAGGTCACAACCTCGTTAATTTATGTTCGATTTTGATTCTTCCTGACTTAACACGCCGTCCACTCTGGCCGGGGCGGAGCCTGCCTTCCTGGCCTGCTGGCCAGAGACTCCCGAGCCAGACCTGGCGGGGGAGGCCGTTAACCCTTGAGGCACCGCCTGCTCGCCCTTGTGGGCAGCTGAGGAAGCAGGGGTCGGCCCGGGCAGCGCCCGCCTCGGTCAGGACACGGCCTCTTGCTGCCAGACCCGGAGACAGCCAGGCTCACGGGGGCCGCCTCGGCCTCAGCAGCTGGCCCCCCACCGCCGAGCCCCACACCCGGCCGCCTGGGGAGCCCCTGAGGCCCCGCGTGGAGGGGAGCCCTTTGGAAAAGGCTTCCATGGGCCTCGGATTTAACCTCAAAGTGCTTCCCTCGGGCAGATTCAAAATAAGCTCCGCGTCTTGCTCAGTTGGTCTTTGAACCTCTGCGCAGAGGCCGGGATCGGGGCCTGGAGGCCTGACAGGCGCTCGGGGCACAGCCGCAGCCCCGGCCCCCGAGGCTTAGACACACCAGGCTGGGCGGGATCCTGAGTGTGCTCTCTCAGGACGGGAGTGAAAATACGCGTTGGCCAAAAGTCTCCTCTTGTGACCAGTGTGATTCTAATTACCTTTTTTTGGCATTGTCAAACGCTCTGAGCCAGAAAATTCACTTAATTAGAAGCAAAAACAAACACTACCTCGGAAAAATGAACTTGAAGGCTAAAGAGAAGGCCGAGGGCGTGATATTCTGAATGACAGCGGCAGCGGGGGGGAAAATCCCTTCATAGGAAAGGGGGATTCCGAGGACGTCACCGGAGGCGACAGGGGCCTCTGTCGGCGGTTTGGGTGATGCAAATGGCAGACAAGGACAGTGGGGGAGGTGCACGGAGCCTCGTCTCCAGGGGCTGCTCCCGCTGCGGTTCCTGGGCTGGCCGGGCTGGCTCAGCGGGTGGGGCGGTCCCGAGTCCGGAGCGCGTGGGATGGCCCGCGTGGACGCGTCTCCAGAGCTGATGAATGTTGCCAGAAGCTGCATTTTTGTCAAGGCCATTCTCATCCACAGCGTGATGTCACAGCCATCGAGGATGCATTTCCACCACACGCCTTTATGAATCCGGAGTCACTTTCACGAGGCTGCGGTCTACGCCGTGTCCCAGGGTGGCAAATGCCGGCCTGGCCTGTGAGGCGCCGGGCGCCGGGCCGCCGCTCCTCCCGCCCTTGGCCGGCTGTTCCGTGCCCCGCTGCTGCCCCGGGTAAGTCCCTGCCGCCTGGCGGAACAGTTCTTTCCAGCCTGCCCTCCTCTGCCCCACAGCAGCAGCGCGGCGACTGACAGCTGACGCCAGCTTCCAAGGAGAGAGGCTGGTGCGAAACGCAGAGTTGGTGGTGGAACGCAGAATCTGAGGTTCTAGAATGTTCTCTGCAGTTTAGAAGGGAATGGAGCTGAGAACACCCCTAAGCCTCTACCGGTTCTCTCACATGCAAAGATGATGAATCCCAACTACGGAGAGAAGGTGTCAGCCCACGCCCCGGTTCTGTGACAGGGTCCTCTCCTCGTGCCCACGTCCCGGTCACACACCACACATATACACACTCACCACACGCACACTCACACGCAGCGCTGGGTTCTACTCAGTCATTAGTCATTCGATCAGTGATTGAGCTGGGAACCAACCCTAACGACGTGGCCTCCTGTCCCCACACATGGGCCACACTCTGCCCCCACCACAGCCTCGGGGACCACGTGCTGCTCCCATGGCAGCGTCAACGGGGAGCAGAGAGGCCTCCGAATGTCTGAGGGCCCCACTCGGCGGGCACCAGCGGAGCGTGCGGGCACCAGCGGAGAGTGCGGCCAGCCTGCCATCTGCTCAGTTCACGGAGGAACCTGGAGACATCAAAGCAGACTCCAGCAGGGAGTGCCCCGAATCACAGCCCGGGCAGCCGCCTTCCTGCTACCTGCTCTCCCAGGGGCTTCCTCTGGCAGCTCAGGTTGCAGGGGCAGGACAGCTCCAGAGCCTCAGTCAGCACCAGGCCCTGCCTGCCCAGTGGCCAGCACAGATGGGGCCTTTGTGCTGCTGGAGAGGTGGCCGGGGGCCGGGCCTCACCCTGCTGCCCCACCCTGGCCGCACCAGGCTGAGGGAGGCGCTCCTGCAGGAGGGGGTGTCTCACCTTTGTCTTCACCTTCTCCCAGGACACACTCACCGGACTCCTGCTCGCTCCCTTGGGTCTCGCGCACCCACTGGCTGCAGAGCAGGCCGTGAACTTGCAATGCCGGGCAGTTACCCAGTCTCCAGGGAACCCCCTTACAGTGTGGGGGTTCCGTAATTGAAAAGGCCTCAAAAATGATTTAGGGCCTAAGTTTGATTTTCAGAAGATTCCCAGGAAACCAGGTATAGGCTTCAAAATATAATCAAATATGTAATGAATTAGTGATGACTTCATTGAGATTACACGCGGTATATCAAAGCACACCAGGTAATTGTGTATGAAAATGGATGCAGCGTGTCCAGTCAACAGGCATCCAAGTACAGACAGCTGGTGGGAAGAAGCAGCGGGAGGCCCGAGCCGCCCCTGGCCCTCGCCGGGGCCCAGGCTAGCCTGCTGCAGGGGCCTGTGTATGGGAGGTGTCCAGGCAGGGCCTGCTCCGGTCCAGGCCCTGCTGCCTCAGGTCACCCCATCCTGCCCACGAGCTCATGGTGGATGGACGCCTGCGTGTCGCTGCGCACCTTCAAGCCGAGTCATTACCTGAAACGGCCCTGTCGCCTGCTGTCCGGCCTCGTCCCAGGAGGCCTGCTGGGTGAGCCTGGGCCCGTCACCACGGCGCTTTGTCATCTCTCACCTTGTATTTCCCACTGTTGGAAGACGCTCCAGGGCCATCTTGTAAAATTTCAGCCCTTGTGCTGGAACAAGCGATCTCTCCCGGGAAGCTCGGCACCGTCTGGAGACTAGCGCTAGAAACCAAGCCCTGCTCCGGCGTTGTCGCTGCCAGCCACACTAGCTGACCGTGAGGAGGTGTGCGTGTGCGCGTGTGTGCATGGGGTGCGTGTGCCGACGTGTGCACACACATCTGTAAATGTTTCTGTACGTCATTTTCTTCCTCCGTCTTCAGCTCGCTGTGCTTCTGAGCGTGTGGACCTCTAACCCATGACCGCATGAGTCCTTCTAGATTTTTCTCCTTGCTTATCCAAAACTGCCCACTCCCCGGGGATCTTCCAGCGCGCTGGCCTGGTGTTGCCCGGCAAGCTGTGGTGGTGATGGAATCATCAACCTGCTTCTCCTGGGAAACAGCTTTATCACCTAGAGAGCAGCTCCTTTGCACGGCTTCCTTTGCCCTGAGCTTTGCAGGAGGCCGTCACCCAAGTTGTGCTTATGCGTCTCAATTTTTTAAAAGACTGATGCCTGTGAAATAGGTTATTTCTAGAAATATCAACGCAGGCATATGTAAAAATCTTTGTTTTATGTTTGAATGTGTACCTTAAAAAATTGAAAGTAACTCTTATGTGACTGATACCCTTGTGCTAAATATAAAAAAAAAAACATACAAAACCCACCATCACCGAAGTGTTGCTGACACTGTACAGAATGATGGGGGCGTCTCGGGCTCTCGAGGCCAAGGACAGTGAATTTAGAGCCGGTTCTGAGTAAGGAACGTAAATAGGAGAAGGACTTTGGGCGCGTCCCTTGATCGCGTGGGGCCTGGACTTGCTGCTCTGTACAGGCAGGTCCCCGAAAGCGTTAAATGAATGGCCCAGTAAGAGCCTCAGCGAGGAAACCAGCTTGAAGGGGACGCCAAATGCTAATTCCCTTTTGTCCTCCGGTTTGAATGATTTTCTTGCACAGTCTGCGCCGTCCTGGGTGCCGACCCTGCCCCGGTTCCGGCGGCGCCTGGGCTCGGGCCTGCGCCGGGCTTTCCCTGGCGCGCCCGCAGGGCGAGCAATTTATTTTCCACAAAGGAAAGGCTGGACGTCAGCCGCGGGGCCCCGCTGAAACCCTGAGCGCCCGCGCCGGGATCTGTGCATGGGGAGCCTGGGCTGCAAATCGGGGCGCTGCTCTCTCACCCCCACTTAGCCGACGGCGCGGAACCGCCCTCGGGGCCGCGGGGCAGCGGGGGACGGGCCTGGGCGGCGGGCACGAAGGCCCCGGCTCCCTCCTGCCGCGCGGAGCTGGTCTTCGGGCCATGGGAGCGCGGGGACGAGCCTGGTTCCCCGACCAGGATGGGCGGCCCTTCCGCGGCGTCTGGACCGGGCGGCCCCACCCGGAGAGACGCGCCCGTCGGGGCGGCAGGGGCGAGCCCCGAGGGCCGCCATGAAGCTGGGGTCCAGGCCGGCAGCCCCCCGGGGGCTCGGGCCCCAGGTCCTTAATCCCGGGGCGGCGCAGCGCCGCCGCCCGCCCACTCAGGGCACTCCTGGGCGAGGACTCCCCGCGCCGGAGCCCGACAGGGACGCGAACCCGACCTTCTGGCCGCTCCCCGGCGACGCCCGCCCGTCCCCCCGGCCCCAGATGCGCCCTCGGCCGGCCGGGCGCTGCCGCCTGGAGTCAGGTCCGCGCGAGCGCGTGGGGCCTCTCTCCGCCGGGTGGGTGCTGCCCGGGTCCAGCTGCCCCCCTCTCCCGGAGGCTGGGGCTCTGCGCTCTCCTCCGACACCGTTAAAACGTTCTGACACTAAGACACTCGTCTGAGGGGTGTCCGCACCCCTGTGCGCGCCTCAGCGCCACAGCAGGGCCGAGCTTGGCGAGCCCAGCGCCGGCGGCGGCGGGCGAGGGACGCGCAGGTGCACAGAGCGGACCCCGCGGTACTATGGGCCTTGAACACGGGGAGACCGGCCACGGCCCCGCAGGGCGGGGGCAGGGGGGGCTGGAGGGGTGATGCTCGGGGTCACTGCTCAGAAGCAGAAAGTCGGAGACCGGGAGGCTTCGCTCTCAAGGAGAACATAGAGAAACAGCGTCACGGAGCAGATACGCTAAGCCAAGGAAACCCTAGAAATCTGACTGCGGAACTGGGAGGAGCCGGGAAGCGGGGTGGAGCAGGGGCGGGGTGCGGGGCTTGGGCTGCAGACGCAGCTCTGCCCACGGCGCGAACCAGCGCCTTGAGATCCTACCGGCATCTAACCCAGCCCCGCGGCCTCGATGGCTCGGCCTTAGACACCCCTGGAGCCCCGAGCACCAACCCCCCAGCCTGCCCCCCTGCGCGGTCTGGGACCCTGGAGGGACACCCCCAAAGAGCCTTCCCGCAGCCCGGAGTGACCTCCGCCGCCAGTGGCAGGGCCTCCCGGAGAGCGCGGGGGCGAGCACCCTTGAGGCCCGGTTCCTGCTGCAGCCAGAGGCGCCGCGGGCCGGGGAAACCCAAGGACCCTGGGCCATCACCCTCACTGCAGCTGGCGCTTCCCCTTTAACCTGCTCTGGAGCTAAAGACTTTTCTGGCCACCCCTCAGCTTCTCCGGCTCCAGGCTAAATAACCCATTTCCCGTAAAGTCCCCCCAGGGTCCTATTTCCTCGCCCCTTTATCATTTTTCTGGCTCCTCTCTGCGTTCTGTTGGAGAGAAGCAGAATGAGCTTCTGGGGGAAAGTCTCACCCCTGACCTTGCACTGAGGCGCAGGGAAGCAAGGGGGGCACGGTGGGGCCTTGAGCAGGGAAGCCTCTCTCCGCCGCCCTCCTGCCCCCACACCACGCCTCCTGACCGCCAGCCTCCCGCGCCCTGGTCCACCAACGCTGCCCCACGCGCACCCTGCCCCACGCTCACCCTGCCCCACGCGCACCCTGCCCCCATGCTCACCCTGCCCCACCATACCCTGCCCCACGCGCACCCTGCCCATGCTCACCCTGCCCCACGCATACCCTGCCCCACGCGCACCCTGCTCCGCTTTCCCTGCACGGCAGGCTGAGGCCGCGTTCAGACACAGGAGCCTGGGACCCAAGGGACCCAACGGCCTCCTCTATCATCAGGCACTGCGCTGATATTTCACCGGCGGGACAAGTCAGGGCCGGGCCAGCGCCTCTGCAGCCCCAGCTGAGTCCGCTCGGTGGAGGGGGAGCCGCGGCCCCGCCTCTTTCTGCCAGGGCGCCCGTGTCCGCATCCGCCCGTGCCCGGCACCACTCAGCAGGCAGCTCTGCTGCCCGACCCTGACCAGCTTCACCCGCGTCCACGCCCTGATGAGAGAACACG